GATATAATCTATTGTAGATTATTACATCTCGAACAAAAAACGTCTCCCGATGAAAGGATTCATAAAGCTAAAACAAATACATATGCAAACGAAATTAATTTATTTCGTTTAAAAAAATCAACGGGCACTGCCATATAGATCACCTTACATATCTGTAGACATGATATTAGGTTATACATTAACGTGCTACGCTTAAAACTGTGGTACTGTACGAAAATAGAACTCTTCTATTATTCGGGATGGATTGAAATAACTATATAGGATTTATCGGGAGCATTTACCTCTACATGTACATAGGCTGGGTAGTACTAATTTATATGGGAAGAGAACACTCACAAAATCATAAAAATCCTTAAATTCGAAATTTTTCAACATTTGTATTCGGTCGGCGCTTTTTTTAAACGTTGTATTTTGGCAGATGCAGCAATGGGTATAGAACAAGTGTGAGAATTACCGCGTTTTTAAACGATCCGAAGGTGTAACGTCATTAGGCGAATGACGTAAAAGCAATGAGAAAAAGTTGTGATGGTTATTCTCCCCAAACTATCGTACCGCAGATTTGCCGAACAACTGTTCCCATTTATAAAAAAAAACATGGACTTAAGGACAAGTGTCGAAAAAATAAATGTAGCTCAGTACAAACACTTTTTAAAGAACCAGATTCTGGACCAGTCCGAGCTCTCCGCGTCGGTTTTTAAATAAAGAGAAACGTCGAGTGTTTCACATGTTTTGGGAACGGATTAACGTTTTATAGAGGCTATTTAGTTTGTAAGAGGCAGCAATGGCGTGACGTTCAAACAGGAAATTACGCAGCAGTTTCTGCATTATTTGGTGATTGGTGTTGAAGTAATTTTTAATATGATGTCGTAATTATGGCAATTAGGCTAACTCGAATAACACTCTTTTAATTTAATTTTTTTGTTACTTAGATGATCCCTCCATCAGTGTATGAACATACCCAGTAACCCGACAAATAACTAGATATACGATAAACTTGATAAGTTGTGTTCTTCATGGTCCACTCTTTCCCGAGGAAAAAGAACATTTCAGAACGCGCACTCATTATTGTTATAGAAAGTATTGCCGAATGACGGAGAATTCAATTCGTCGAGCAACTGAATTAAAATTGATCGAATTTTAAATATATTTATTATTTTCATTACAACACGAATAGCTTTACCAGTTGTTCTAGTTGGAATTGTTCATATTGTCATAGCACATTCACATGTCTATACATTAATTACAAAGGAAATAAAAGTCACACAGTCATTCATTTCGTGATATGATTTGTAAAAGTATTGATTTGACAAAATGGTCTGTAAAAGTTTCAATTCTTGTGTTATTTTGATAACAGAGGCCCTTCACAATTGCAAGAGATTTATTCACTAAAGACTTGGGGGAACTCATTAGCAGGTGCTTGTGTTCGACCGAGCCTGGTTGAGCCAGGATAGAGCATTCAAATTGCCGTTAAATAAAGCGATGGCCACACAGCCCTGTCATGAAGTCCCAAACATGAATACGACTTTGTGCAAATGCACTATGTGTCAGCACTTGCAATTTGCACTTACAAAAAAAAGTCAGGAGAGACAACAGTGACGCCCAATGTCCAGAACTATCGCCTGACACAAAAACAATTTTTAAAAAAAAAAATTTGTCAGGAGATAAAGTTCTCTAAGCCAGTGTGTCAATGATTTGGACCGTCAAACTTGTGTCTGTCGTTGCATTAACCTCTGTTATCAATAACCACTGTTATCAAAACAACACAATGAATGAAACTTTTACAGATATATATACATATATATATCATATATTAATGTTGCTTCTTTAGGAAAAGTAACGTTCAGGAAAATGTTGAAGTGGGGAATTTTATCATCAGCCAATATCACCAAAAGATTTATACCTCGACTGTTAAAATCGCCGAGAAGTCAAGTCATCGCAATAGCAAGTCGAAGCATCGAGAAGGCTGAAAGCGTGGCCAAAGAGTGGAACATACCAAAAGCATATGGTAGTTATGAAGAATTGTTGACTGATAGTGAAATAAATGTTGTGTATGTTCCCCTGCCCAATGTATTACATGCTGAGTGGGCAGTTAGAGCGGCAGAGAGTGGAAAACACTGTATGGTGGAGAAACCAATAGCAACAAAGGTATTGTGTAGTTGAATATAACATTCTGGATTAAAATTATATTAATTATCCAAATAGAAAATGTTAAAAAACGTGCTTTGGCCAGTTCAAAGCGACACGCTAATAATGACTGGAATTAATCCTTTAAATATTGTTTAACATAGGTATCTGATGTTCACAAATTGCAGACAGTTGCCATGGAAAACAATGTTTTGATTGTTGAAGGTTTCGTACACTTATGTCACCCGCAGTTTAAAGCAATTCGAGACACAATAAAATCAGGTTTGTGAACAAATATTAGACATGAATTCATTCATCAATTTATTTAAAATTTTGTTAAAATGAAGACAAATGACAAACAATTATTTTTTTTCAATTATTTTTAAATAGTTGATTAGCTAGGTAAAGGCATCATTTTAATTTCATGAATATATCATACTGTAGTACGCGTTGGTAATATTCCGTTTTCAGAATCCGTGGTAAATTACGTCCAAACGAGTTCAGAAACCGTGTTTTTACAACTTGTTATAACTAATATGGTATTTTGGTCTTTTTTCGACAAACATAACAAATAATTTGTTTCATTCAGTAGTTCTTCGTATTAATGTTGTTATTTCACCGTGGTACATGACAGCCAAATATATTCTAGATTGACTGTATCAGATGTTTATGATTTAATAATGCGTCGTTTTTAAGTTTTTGTAATCATTTAGTATTATTAGAGTATTAGCATAATATATTCTTAATTATATTAGAAATTAGCATAATATATTCTTAATTATATTAGAGTATGAGAATAATCTACTTTTAATTATATTAGATATTAGCATAATATATTCTTAATTATATGCTTATTCTTAAAATATGATTACATCTAATGCGGACTGGTCATCGAATAGAAATAGTAGCAATACCATAACATTGTTGATCTGTTTTCTGGGTAGAGTGCTTTCGTTGATTCACAAAATGCAGAGATGTAGTTTATTTGTCCAGAACTTACCGCCAGTGTGATGGCGTCCTTTATTAAACATATTTACAATACAGATCATGCGCAATCACAATCCAAAAAAGCCTTGAATCTCGGATATTGTTACATATGCTGTTCCACAAACTCATTTTTTTATCTGCTAAACATTGCACAAAAATAAACTAAACACCAACATAAATTTCATTAAATAGGACGAGTATATCTCCCATTAAAAATTTAAAGCATTATATCGGTTATGATATCATCTTCAGTGATTTTATTCGATGGATACCGTATTTGTTAGTTTCCAATTATTAAGGTACTTTACTGTAAACGTATGTTCATTGTAATTATCAGGGCGTATCGGTGACGTCCACTATATGACTGGTTCATTTGTTGAGAATCTTCCTTTAACGCCGGAAGGGTCGTTGTGGCTGCTGGAATTTACCCTGTCAGTATGATGATAGCACTGCTGGACGAAAAGCCATCCAGAGTAACAGCCATGGAGTGCCAAAAAGACAGGTTGGTGTTGTTAATATGGGAATACATAGTCGACAGCTGTAAAATACTGCGAGGGTATCCACTGTTAACTACTAGTTCACAATGGGAATAATTTAGTCGACAGCTGTATAATTCTGCGCGGGTATCCACTGTTAACTACTAGTTCACAATGGGAATAATTTAGTCGATAACTATATAATTATTTTAGGTTATCCACTGTTAACTACTAGTTCACAATAGGAATAATTTAGTCGATAACTGTATAAATCTATGAGGTTATCCACTGTTAACTACTAGTTCACAATGGGAACAATTTAGTCGACATCTGAATAATTCTATGAGGTTATCCACTGTTAACTACTAGTTCACAATGGGAATAATTTAGTCGATAACTGTATAATTATTTTAGGTTATCCACTGTTAATTGCTACTTAACAATAGGAATAATTTAGACGACAGCTGAATAATTCTATGAGGTTATCCACTGTTAACTTCTAGTTCAGAATGGGGAT